AATCACCAAGAGCATTCCTTATGCTGGAGACAAGAATAAGCCCTTTATGGATGGTCTGCTTTCTAGGAAAAGCAGAAATCTCACATCCTTCAGAAAATATGACCAAGATCTTAGTTTGAACAATACATTTTAAAGACTACATAGATACTCTCTGGGTTAGGATTACTAATTGCTGTGATGAAACACCAAGACCCAAAAACAAGTTGGAGAGGAAAGGGTTTATTTGACTTACACTTCCATATCACTGTTTATCATCGAAGGAAGTTAGGACAGGAACATAAACAGAGCAGGAACCTGGAGGCTGGGGCTGCCTCAGAGGCTGTGGAGGAGTGCTGCTTACTGGCTTGCTTCCTCTGACTTGCTCAGCAGGCTTTCTTAGAGAACTCAGGACTACCAGAGACAGCACCACCCATAGTGGGCTGCACCCTACCCCATCAATCACTAATTAAGATAAGAGGTTCCCTTCTTTCAGATAACTCTGGTTTGTGTGTCAAGTTGACATTAAGATTAGCTGGCACAGATACTTAAGACCTTTTTTAGTTTTGCATCATAGGGATGCATCTTGACTGTGGCAGGGACTTTTCATGATGGTGTTAATAGTGCTGCTAGGTAATTTGTGCCTGGTACCCTACAAGGCACCTTTTACATATCATGTTATTCACATGACATGATAGTCACATGTTGCCATGACCACTTTGCAGATGAAGAAATAGGCTGAGGAAGATGGGCTGCCTTAAGACATCCAGCTAGGATATGGAGTCTGAATGAAGTCTGGATCTCCGGTACTGCAAAAATCCTAATTAAGACCTCTCCCATTTTTATGTGTGTATGTGTGGTGTGCATGAATGCTTGCATGTTTTTGCATATTTGTGGGGAAACCTGTGTGCCTGTGCATGAGGAGGTGCCAGGTTGATTTCAGGAATCATTCTCTTCCACTTCATCCATTGAGGCACGGTCTCTCAATCAAACCCAGAGCTACTGACATAGCTAGTCTTACCTACCAGCTTGGTTTGAAGGTCCTCTGTCTTTGACTTCTTGGGCTGGAATGAAAGCACGTCCCCATGTTCATCCAATGTTTCTGTGAGTTCCTGGGGATCCAAACTCTGGTCCTCAGGTTTGCATGGCAAATATAGTCATATCCCTGGACCCAAGATACATATATGCCCAGGATTGTGTGTGCAAAATATATGCCTGTGCGGGCCACCACACTGCTCCATTGACTTTTTAAGACAAGAAGGAGAAAGGAACTGACAGTCTCTGCATGTATGAGTGCTGGGTCTTGGTTTCTCTCAGGGCCCCTCTACCTTTAATGTATACCTGAGTCGCTAAAGCCATGAATTTGTGGTTCTTGCCTTCAGCAGGGGCTGCTTTCCCAGCTCCTTGTCACAACAATGCATGAAGGGCTCAGCATTCTTTGGGTGGAAATCCTGGGGACCCACTCATTGCTTTGAATACTATTTTTAGGTTCCCTGCTCTGTCCTGGGTATGACTGATTTTATTTCTCATTCCGGTGCAGGTGGAAAAGATCTTGGTTAGGATGCTAAAAAACCTGAGTTTGAGTTATATTCTGCTTTTAGCAGCAGTGTAACCTTGACAAAGCTACACAGATTTTATTTCCCCATTTATGTAATGAGAGATAGAAATAGCTGCCCTGCCCAAAGAAAGGTCAGCTGTGTAAACTGATGGTAGGAGGAAATGATCCCTTTTAAAGGAGGGAGGAAAATCCCCTGGGAGTGGTGATACAAGATGGCATGGTGCTAAGCCCGTGTCTCAGTTCCTGACTCTTCCTTTGCATTCTCCTACTGGCATCTTGTTCCAGAATAAGGATGGAAATATTAATATTACATGAAAACATTTCCTTTGACCCCAAATTTTATTTTTTGCATCAATTTTTGTAAAAAAAAATATGCATTTTTGTCGTCCCCTAAAAATATTCCTGGCAGTAGGTACTGTGCCTTCTGGACCTAATACCTAAACTGCTGGGAATTCAGAGCTTGCTACCCGTAGCTCTTGACACTTTTGTCTGTACAGTGCTGCCTCCCAGAGCCCAGCACAGCCAAGTTGCTGCCAAACAGAGAGGTCTAGGAGACCTTGTCCCCTGAAGGGGTGCAGAGGATGTCCTCCATCAGCTCAACCTTGATGCTAGGTTTAATGAGATCACTCTAGCCAACATGTCTGTCAGGGGGGCAGTCTTATGTCTTTATGACAAGGTCCAGGGTATAACCCACATGAGCGCTTCACCCTGCTTTACCCACAACAGAACATTTGTTATTAAAAGCCTACTGTATGCTGAGGACTTCACATGTATCATATCATTGAATTATTATATCATAGTCATAAGGTAGGTGATACTGTCTCTAGTACAGAAAGGACAATGAAGGCCAAAAGTTCTCATCAGTGGCATCACATGGCCTTGTCCTTCCCCTACTGAGGAGCCCATGATAATGCCTATCATTCCTACTTGAACTCCATTGCTTCCCTCATGGTATTAGATGGAATCCAGCCCTTGAATGTACTAGGCAAGTGCTCTACTACAGAGCTACATCCCCAGCCCCAGTGCAGTTTCTTACAGAACAGATTGATTGTCCAGGCCAAGAACAGGTATGTTTGGGGATGGGCTTAAGGCCCCTGGTCCACAGAGCCCACTCCAGTTTAGATAGGACATAGACTGATGGCAGACCCATGGCCTCATCAAGCAATCTAGGGAAGACACAGGATCCAATGAGCTTCAGAAAGTAGAAAAGCAGCCTGGCTTCTTGTCTCGAGTGGGGCAAGACTGGTTGAATGAACCTTGTGTTTCTTTTCTTAGACTTGTGTTGCCTTGGACTTGTGACACCTCTTTAGTCATCTGGCACATTATGGGGCTTGAGAGATGGCTTTGCAATTAAGAGCATTTGCTGCTCTTGACCCAGGTTAGGTTCCCAGCACCCACACAGTGGTTCACATCTGTCTATAACTCAGTACCAGGGGTTCCAACATTCTTTTGTGTCCTCCAAGAGCGCTAGGCACAAAAGTGATACACATTCATGCAAGCAAATACTCAAATGCATAATTTTTTGTTTGCTTGTTTGGTTTTTTTTTTTCAGGGTAGGGTTTCATGGCTGTCCTGGAACTCACTCTGTAGACCAGGCTGGCCTCAAACACATAGTTCTGCCTGCCTTTGCCTCCCTAGTGCTAAAATTAAAGGCCCTGTGCCCACTACCACCCAAATAAATTCTTTTAAGGAAGTAAGTTCTGCCATTTCTTTGGTCATTGGGATGGATATTCTTGGTTGTCTAGAATTAACTAAAAGCTCAAACAGCTGGACACATCTGTGAGGGATTTTTCTCGGTTGAATTGTTTGAGGTTAGAGGGCTCTCCCTAAAGCTGGGCCACACCTTCTAGTAGCAGCTTATGTAAAGGACATGGTAGAAAAAAGACTTTTGCTTTATGCCTGCTTGTCTCATGCTCACTGGCAATTTTATCTGTTCTGCTGCTGAGATAATTCCTTCACTGCTATTAAAACCTACTTCTACTGGGTTCCAATGTACACAGAACACCAAGTAACACATCTAGCCTCCTGGACTGAACAACTATTGGATTCTTGGACCCGTCTTTTGGGCAACAACCATTTTTGGATTAGCTGGACCACAGCCTGTAAGCCACTCTGATAAATCCCATATATATGTTTTTCTATCAGTTCTGTTCCTCTAGAGAACCCTGACTACTACAGTCGTGCCTCTCCCTAAATGTCCCTCTTCCTTCTAGGCCGATTTGTGTGTGCAGGGGCATGTGCGAGCCCCAAGCATGCATGCACACAAATGTATGAATGCCCACTGAAGTTGAGTCTTAGGCCTCCAGGAGGGTAAACACTTGCTCTTCCACCGAGCTTCAGTCTCAGCCTAGAGATGCAACCATCAGAGCTCTCCGATTAGGCCTAGGCACTCAGAGTATGTGAGAATTGTGGAAGACTGTTCCCTCTGGTTATTTCAAAAAGGACATCCCTGCACTTGCATGCTAACTGTTGGGGCCTTCCTGCAATCCCAGCATTGGGCAGTTGGAGGTTAGGAGGATGGGGAGTTCAAGATCAGACCTCACAAAAAGAAAGAGAGAAAGCAAGAAAGAAAAAGAAAAAGAAAAAAAACAAAAAAACAAAAAAACAAAAAAAAAAAAAACAAAACTCCCCATGAGGCATTATAGACTTTTATCCTTTCCTCTTGGCTGAAGTGCCAGGTCCTGGGGTTAGTGCAGGAATGGGAAATTTCATTCCGGTTTCTTACAGGACCCACAACTAGTTGAGAGGTCTATCTACACTTGGCTTCTCTGAGCTGATTTCCCAAATTCTGTAATCCAAATCGCTAAGGTTTTTTACCGTGACATACATTGTTTTGCACCTCCTAAGAGGACCTCAGAAAGAAATATTCCATTTAATTTTTATGAGCCATATCGTGAACCTTGGAGACTCAGGCCTGGAATGAGGCAATTCTAGTATTTTACAAGCTCTAGTTTCTGCATCTTAGAAATGAGAATAATAACAATGACGATGGTAAAACAAACAAACAAATAACCCGACCTGGCGTGGCTGCTTCTATGATTGAGTTTCATGGAACACAATATGGGCACACAGTGGGTATGCAACACCGTGTGAAGTGTGGACCTCTGGTAACCTGAGTCTTCACGATAACCAGAGTGAATGTTGGGCAAGGGTTTCCCTACAACTCCTACAAATCGGGAGGTGACCCTCACTCCACACCTGGAATGCAGAAGTGGCCCGGGCAGGAAGGGCCAAGGAATCTTCACTGCAGCCACCTGAGCCACCGGGGCTGCGGGTGGAGTCCTGGCAGGGGAGACAGCAGGCTGAGGATGGGTGGCGGGAGGAGGCTGGGTTGGTGGGGGCAGCGGGCCCGGAGGACACGCGGGCGCCGAAGGAGTTAAACAGGGCCGGGGGCAGAGCGCCTGTCAGACGCGAGCATGTGCAGTTTGCGCCGCATCCGTACTATGGGTGAGTGCCGCCGTCGCCGCCTGGGGCTGGGTTCGGTGGGGCAGCAGCCGCTGCAGCTCCCCGGGCCCCGTGCCGCCCCGGCGGCCGCGGACACTCTATGCGGGAATAGTCGCAGGCGGACGGGCGGGCGGCGAAGGGGAGGCTTGGCGGGTCACTCGGCGCGGGGGGAGCCCTAGCGCCGGGCGTGGGGGGCGGGGAGCAGGCGGCGCAGGAGAGCGCCCCGAGTCCCGGCGCGGGAGGAGGAGCGGGAGCCAGCCCGAGAGACCGTGCTCCTGGCCGCACCTGCGTCGGGCAGACAGCCGCCCGGCCCTGCTCTGCCTTGCCCTGTCCTCGTCCCCGGCCCCGCACCGGTAGGTGCCCGCGATGTCCGCAGAGAGGCCTTTCTGCCGCGGAGAGAGGTGTCTGATCCGGGCGGGCAGCGCCGAGCGCGGGGGCGCGGGTGATGGGGAGGTGATGGGGAAGACCCGGCGACCCCGTGTAGGGACACTACCGGATCCCGCTTCTTCGTTGCTTTCGGTTTCGAAGCGTCTGCTGGGGCTCGAGAGCGAGCGGCAGATTAGATGGTGTCTGAGCTTGGATTCCCTGCGGGGGATGGGCGCACAGGGGGGCGTGTTGGCTAAAGGGGTGCACACTGGCAACTTTCCCTGCCTGAAACAAAGAGGTGCCGGATTGAGGCGAGTGTGAAAGATCCGGCTGAGGATCTCAGACCTCTGAAGGTTGTCACCTCCCCCCAACCCAGTGGAGTGCACCCTTAGGCCCTCTGGAAAGGACAGATGGGGGCGCCAGACTGGATGGAAGCTGGAGAGTCGGATCTTGGGAGTGAGAACCTCAGACCCTCCTGACTTTGCTGGTCAAAAGGACCGTATTGACTTCTCTCCCGTGTGCATGAAAGGACTGGGTGATGGTACGTTGCACTCTTTGACACTCTTTTTCAGGTGGGTGCCTGGGTCAGTGCCCAGTTCTTCTTCTGCAACCACCACCTCTGTTTCCTGGTGGGAAATGGAGGGCTGGGATGGGATGGGGAGCTATTTATCCCTGTTTCTGGCAAGGCCAGCGAGTCTATGGAGTCTTTCCCATGTGTCTTCTTTTCTCCCTTTCTATGACCAGTGAGAAACCCAACCGTTTCCCTGCTTTCCCTCACCAATTTCTCCTCTCTTCCCAGGGTTTTCTCCAGAGGTGGGTGTATGTATGATCACTTCAGGCACAGAGTTGGTGGTGCCAGGCTGTTCTGACATCGGTTAGATTTTACTGGAACCAGTGTAACCTTGGGGGCTCTGCTCATCAATTATCTCTGCACCCCAATAACAAGTGATCTTCCGACTGGGGTCCTCAGGAAGCCTAAGTTCCTGAGGAGTCAAAGAGAGGCATGGTGGACCCTGCCTTATGGATAGTATAGGATCTTTCTCCATAGAAAACAAAATTGCTGTATTCCAAGGTCCCAATCCCCAGGCTTTGTCTCCAGGACCAGGTCCTACAGCTTGCAGAGGGCTTGCCTGTGACCATTGGCTCTTGTCCTGTGGCAGCACTGTCGTCTAGGAGCTTAGGCCCTTTAACTGGTTAGAAGGCAGAGCCCATCTGCTTCTCTCTATGGTCTGCCTGGAGACAGGAGGTGCAGTAAGCTCTGGACTTCGGGGTGATCATCTTGTGTCTCTGTGAGGGAGCTAGTGACAACCATGGTTGGACCAAGGGTGGGTCTGCAAGGACAGCTGGGTTTAGACACATGGATGGGGTAGGCTGAGATGAAGCATTCTTTCTCCTTTCTGAGATTTTGTGTTCAGCAGCAGAGTCAGGCAGTAAGGGAGATGGAATGCTGGTCTTAGGAGAGAAATGACAAATTGACTTTCTGCTGACTTTGGCCTCTTCAAGATAGAATTAAGGGGATTCCAGGACTTGTAAGGGGTGGCTGGGAAAAAAGGAAGTGTCCCCGAGCATTCCATCTGTGGTCCCAGAACTAAAGTGGCTAAGGTTAGGTCAGGTAGCTAACTCAGGTGACACAGACAGCCCCACTTCTGTAGAGTTCCTCCCTCTGGCTAGGCAGGGTTGATGATTGCTCAGTCCAAGTTGGGTTTATCCCAAGCTGTTGATTCACGGCTGAGGACGGTGGCACTGACCTGACCTCCCCAGCAGAAAGGGTTCGAGAAGGCATTGCAGATTGCTCCCCAGATACACAGACTTCCAGGTAAGAAGATAAAGCTCCTCTGACTCTCTTTGAAAGTGGTGGGACATGATTTCCTACATTTATAAACTGATTTAAGAGCCAGGGTTCTTGAACGGAAGACTTTAGAAGAGTTAGTAAGCTTTATTCTACGTTTATTTCAGTTGAATCTGGTCTGTGTGTTGTTTCTAAAGGTGGAAAGTGTCATTTTACAGGAAAGGGCTAAATTGCAGCTTTTGCGATAGGGAAAGGCTGGTGTTAGTTTTAAAAGTGTCATTTTTATCAGAAAAGTTGCTCTGTCTGCCTGTGCTCATGGGACATCATGGAGCTTTTCGAAGGAGATGACAAACAAGCCAGGGCATCAGTGACAGTTGCCTTCAAAGCTCTGAAAAGGGTCTCTGATGGTGTGGGGAGCCTCTGGTATTAATTAAAGGGAGAGCTGGCTCGGGGCAGTAAAGTGAGGCAGCTTGGTTAGCAGCAGCCGTATCAGATCTGGCTGTCCTTGGGGGAAAAAAGGTGCACATTCCCCTGTTCTACTGCTCTCGAATTTGTGTCCCTCCTGTCCCCTCCTCCCTTCCACCCGATAATTGCAGACAAGATGGTTTGGATTTTAGTGGGCTTTGTTTTGTTCTGTTTTTTAGCTTAGAAACATTCCTTTTAAAAGTGTAAGTCTGGCCTTAGCACACTCTTCGCTCCTTTTGTTCATACCTGGCCGAGGGGGGCAGTAAAGAAAGGGATTAAGATAATCTCAAAGTGGCTATATTTTCGGCTTCTTCCCCCCATACCCCCTCAGAAACCAGAGTTTGTTATTGAAACATAAAGAGTAATGGAGTTTGAGGGGAAGGGACAGGAGCCGGCGACTTGCTTATTGTCCTTAAGACACACCCAGTACACTGGCTGTGGTGTGCTAACAGTCTTCTCTTGGGATTTGAGAAGGGTTACAATCAATTATCTTATGATTAGTGGGTTATACTTTTCCAAGATACTTGAAGAGAATTTTGGCGCTGTAGGTTTGGTTCGAGAGCATAGTGACAAATGCCTGTAGTCCTAGACCTTAGAAGGTAAAGGCAGAGGATTTGAGGCCAGCCTGGTCTACAAATAGAGCTCCAGACCAACCAGGATTATATAATGACACCTTGGCTGGAAAAAATAATACAGTTCCTGAGATCAAGCTATGGGATGCTCCATGCTGCTGTCATTTATGGAAAAGGAAATGGTCTCTCCCTCTGGCGCACTTACCTACCATAAAATGGAGGCTGAGTGGGTGACCCTGCTCATTCTCAGGCTAACATGGAACGCCTGCTTGCTCCTGTTTGCTCACACGAATTAGGCTTCAGGAGTGGGTTCCTGCATGTCTCCATGCAAAGCTTCTACTTAATGTGCATTTTGACATCAGTTCCCCTACCTGTAAATTTAGGGGGGGGGTGAATTGTAGGCTCTCAAAGGAAACTTTCCGTCCCTTTCTAATGCTGACAGTTTTGTGATGGGGTTGGACATAGTCAAGTCTAGCAATCTAAAGAATAAACACAATTATTGCCGTATGCATTTCTGAACTTCTAGACTCCACCATCCCTTTTTCTCTGATGGCCCTGGGGACCGTGAGACCTCCTTGTCTCTGTCATAACTGGTGTTGTAGAAAAGACATTAGTATTATGGCAGCCTACGTGGCAGGACTTGGGTCTTAAAATTGTTCTTTCCTCTGGAATCTTGGCAACATTTCACTGACCATGTAGTGTTGGGAGATATAATTGGTAAGGGGACATAATTAGTGAGGACATTTGTGTCACACCTCTTCTCTCCAGAGGCCCTGCATCTGGAACACACTGGGTCATCCACTTCTGACTGCTTTTGCAGTTGGGCTCGAATGATAAATGACTTTTAGTTGGTCTGTGCATTCATTGTTTCAGTTTTTAAGAGGCACCCCTATCCCATGATTTTCAGGACTGGTCCATCTTCACAAGAGAGGTTTTAGTAGGGCCTTGATATCAGCCCTAAGTGTAGAGATGCCAGCCAAGAGATTGAAGGGACACAGAGAGGAACTTCTGAGGAAGCCGGTCATGCTTTGAGATAAATGTAAATATAGGGTTCCAGTCAGAACAGCAATGGGCCTGGATTCTTGCTAATAATGGCCATTCTATGTCTTGTTATCATTTAAAATTTTGAGAATTTTATACAGTGATTTTCTCTGACCCTTAGGTCTAGGGTTGTGTTGTAGATGCATCAGTTGGGGATGGGGACCATGACAGTCATTTATTCTCTACATTGAACACTTGTGGGTCTCTGTGATGGTCTCCACTTGTTATGAAAAGAAGTTCTTTAATTAAAGAACTACACTTACCTGTAGGTATAAGGATAAACGGGTAGATTACTGTTAGAAATGATATTGGTTTAGGAAACTGACAGTGGTGGGTTCTTCTCTCGGTGTTTGTGACCTCTCCAGCCATGAGCAGTTGGCTAGTTTGCAGTACCTGGCATGACTTCTTTCCTGTTAAGCAGGCCTTAAGTCCAACTAGATAGCTGTGGGTCACCACTAAGATAAAAGTGCAGCTATTGCACCATCGGGGGTATCTTGCCAGGCCCATCATTGTTGCAGTGCATAGCCTTTACAGCTGGGTCGGGCTATTGATTACTTTTCTCCTTTGGCAGCTTGCATAGCTCCTTCCAATACTATGAGAGTTAGTCCTCAGGGAGCATCACGGATCTGTTTCTAGCACATGTACAACCCCCATTGTCTGTCTAAAGGGTGTTCTCAACTTATTTTCATCTTAGTTCCTAGTCTTTAGACTCTCCCTTCATCTTGTTCCTAGCACACACACACACACACACACACACACACACACACACAAAGCCAGGAATAAAGAAACTGGACATTGGTCACACTTATATCTATATCATAATATAAATATGGACAATAAATATTGTTATCATTGGGGAGCATAAGCATCTCCAGAGTTTTCTCTGATATTGTGCAGGAATTGGTTTTTTGTTGTTGTTGACTTTTGTTTTGTTTTTTATTTCCCAAAGGGATGAGGTAACCTTCTCATACTGACCTAATTTAGGTGCCTTCAAACTTTCCTATGCCTGCCCAATTTCTGGCATATGAGAGCACTTATTAAATCACCAGCTGTGATAGTTGGATATTGTCAGACATCTAGGCTTCTAGGTTACTGGACATTGTTCTAAGGAAACTAATGA